ACTGTTCTCTACACACACTGGCCTCCTTTATATTCTTCAAACCACCAAGCCCATTCCCACATTAGGGTTTTTGCACTGGCTCTTCTTTCTGTCTGAAGGCTCCTTCTTCTAGGATTTTGTTGCCTGGCACATTCTCATCACCAAGTAACAGTGGTAGGAGATTCAGTAGACAGGAGTACAGGGACCAAGTCCTTTGGGTCTTGTAGACCATCTCAAGGAGCTTGGACATTATCCTAAGGGCAATAAGAAGCCAATGAGGGTTTTAATCAGGAAACTGATGAAATGTGATTACATTTTTTTTAAGAATCACCCTGACTGTCTAATGGGGAAAGCTTGGGGCAAAGGGTGGGCAACATGGAAGGAAGAAGACAAGATAGGTGGCTATTATGTTAATAGTCCAGACAGGAAATGTTGGTGACTTGGACCAAGATGGAGGTAGAGAGAAATAGCAGATTTGGAAATAAAACTAGTAAGATTTGCTAATGGACCAGTTCATTCATTCATCCATTCATTCATTCAGCAGACATTTTTGATCAGCAGTAAACAAAGCAGACAAGAATCCTTACTTTTGTGGAATATATATTCCAGGAGGCAGATGAAGATCTGACTGAAACTGGGGCCTTGACAAGTAGTAACATTTACACAGATATAAGAAAGAGGGTTCCAGGTGTGGGAAATGATACAAGCCAAGTTTGCAAGATGACATGCATTTGAAAAGTGCCAGCAGCAATATTGGCGAGCCCAGAAGTCCTGTGGAGGGGATTGGGAAAGGCCTTAAGGATTCTGAAATTTTTCCACGGGCAGCAAAATAGTATTGATGGCTTTTGCCCAAAGATTCAAGGTGGTCAAGGACCGTTTAAGAAAAATGGGCAAGAATGCTTTGCAAAAGAAGTCACTACCAAGGAAGGATTCACATGATCTGGTCACTGGGCATGAGGATCAAGGAGACAGTTCATCTTCAAATTTTATTTAAAGGTCATTTTTATTTCATTAATGTTTTTGCATAATTATCTTAAAAATTGGACTTTGCTTGGGTTCAATAGCACACTCTAACAAATTTCATATTCAGTTTCAAATTTCTAACAAATCAAATTTCACATCAAAACTGTTTATACATAAGTGCTTTTATGTTATAATAATTCCTCCTCATAAGCTGCCAGGAGGCAACCTTACAAAGGGCTTCTCTTAACTGATTAGGAAACCTATCTGTTTTCCAGAAGCAATGTAGCTCACCTGGGATCAGTGAAAAGATGAATAGAAAACAAGTATTCCATTTGATTTGGTCTGCTATGTGATTGGCGTATTGTATGCGACATTACCCAGTCTGATAGCCCATCACCTGATCCGTTGTTAGATCAGGCAGAAGACCTACCTCTAGTATTCCTGTGTTGTATGAAATAGTGACTCAGACAGTACCAGTTTTGCCCAGGGACCTGCTGAGATCCATACAGCAAACACAGGACCTCAGTGAGCAGCAACTAAAGTTCATCCCTCAGTTCTAATCATCTGGGTTGTAAGCGGTTCCCTGTTGCCTATGGCTGGTGCCAAGGACCTCCAGGAAGAAATCTTGGTGGATTCTGCAATGCTCTCATGTGAGCTCTGTCAATGAAAGTGACAGTGACCATGAGAAAGCAAGGTAACCTAAAGGCATCCTACTAGGGAGAAGAAGAGTATATGGCCAAGGAACAGGTCTCTGTGCAAAGGTTCCACCCAAGCAGTTCTGGACAACCCTAGCATCTCTGTGACTTCAGCCCCGGGCTCCCTCACCACCGTGGCACCTGTCTACTCTGGAAGGACCGGGAGAGGCTCTCGTCTTGCTTTCTTCAAACGTTGCTGGCAGTAAACCTTTTGATGACTTCTAGGTTATCCCCTGAAGTTGACAGTAGGGAAGCAGCGCGCGCTGCCCACCCCTCACCAGGCCTTTGCCAAAGGTCTTCCTCCTCCCCTCAGACCTGAGGATGATACTTCCTGAGCTGCCTTAATTTTGTCTTGTCCTCTTAAGGAAGTCTTAGTTCTGCACGGTTGAGATAAAACCCAGAGAAGGGTGAAGGGAGATACGAAAATGAACCTGAACAACAAAAGAGAAAGAAAAAGGAAAGGAAAACCTAAGCTGTAAGATCAGAGTGGTTCAAAAGTATTCAGAGGAAATGCAAAGAGAAATCACTTCCTTTGGGCTATAAGTGGATGGATGAAAGATTCTTCGAGGTTACAAGAAAACAGGCTACTTCACAAATACCTGGGGGAATACTTTAAACAACCAAACTGTGGTTTCTATACTCAAAGAAAAGTGGCCCCCAAAATGCAAGTGGCCGCTTCTTCCTGAGGCTGGATTCAGACATTACACTTCCCAGTGATTTGGGCAATTACTTTTAATTAGCTCACTCTCTCCAGCTTAATTTTCTGTACAAATTTAACAAATATTTGACCTTTAGCCACACTTTGCCATTGCACTCTGTTTTTCCAAAGTACATGAGCATATGTGCTTGATTTCATTTTTCCCTGCTATGGGTTGAGTTAATTCACTGATTTTGCTAATCCAATTGGGTGCAGTTAAAACAGAGCTTATTTAGGGCACTTCCAGGCCTTTGTAAAAAATGAAACAAACACCCCTTGAGGGAAAGGGGAACTTGATTAGCAGGAAGCAAAATATTCCCATGTGACATTCCCCCCCCCCACTTGTCTTTTTAAAACAACTATTTCATGGAAAATCCTTTGCGTGTGTTGTGTATACCTTAAAGTCTTTCAATAGCGTTGATCACTGTGTAATACTCAGGCAATAAGCTTCCAGATATACCCCCATTTATTCCACTCCAGAAGATTTGGGTTGGCCTCCAGGAGAGCCAAAGTCACATCCACATTAAATCCCAGTTCGCAGAGCCGGTCACCTCCTGGTTCAAATCCCTAAGAACCAAGAAGGCATGCTTCCGTTTTGTGTCCATGTAAAGGAGCAGATGCATTTGGGGGTGGGGAAGTGGTGTGCGGAAGGGAGGAGAGCCGAACACGTCCACTTACGCCCAGGGATCAATTAACTAATTTAAGGAGACACTACACTGGCGTCTTCAGCCCCCAAATTGCTTACAAAAGAAAAAAAAAAAGATATTCTGAGACTCAAAATAGTAAATGCAGACTTGAGTATCGGGATTTAAGAGAATGAAAGATAAAAGGAAAATAGCTTTGGAGAGGAGGCAACCTGTGGTAGGGAGAAGAAAACCACAGGCTGTTCTGAGCACAGCACTCCGCTTCTTAACCTAGACCACAAATTGTTTTAGCCTGTGATCAGACTCAGCCCCCCCCCCCCCTCGGGGGAGGAGGGCTTCCGATATCGTCTGGGAGGAGCTTAGGAAAAGAGCAGAAGTTCTAACATCAGTTTTCTCTGCAGTCTGAGAGAAATGCAACTCTGCTCCATTCAGGTACATAAGGGTTAAAAGAGAGAGAGTGGGGGGGGGGGGTGGAGGGAGTTTTGGGTACAGCTGGAAGCCATTAACAACTCTGAGACCATCTCAGTAACCCAGGGAGAGGGTGGGTGGCCTGGCAGAGATCCTGGCTCCATGCATGTCCTCACCAACTCTTAGCCCTGGGCGGGGCTTGATTCTACCTCCCACCCAATGGAGAAATCTCATCTTCAACTCTTCAGTCCCTGCTTGCATACTTCAGCTCACGCACCGCTTCACAAGGCAGCCCATTCCTTCAAGGACAGCCTCGATCACTGGAAGGTTCTTCTTTACAAAATTTGCCTCTATGGAAAGTCGCTCCTTCAGTTCTAGCTTGGTCCTCTGGTGTCCTAGCACACACCAGCCCTACGTGTGAAGACGGCAATCACTTGTCGCCTCCGAATTCTCGCCTCCTTGTGGCCAGACAACCTGTTCTGCCAGCCAGCCCTCCCACCTGATGGTTTACAGACACCTCCTGAGCCTCTGCCTATCTTTTGAACTATGCTCATGTTTCAGAATCCCTTCTGGAGAACAGGGCCCTGAACGGAATACATTTCCCAGCTGCAAGGGCACCAGTATAGTATCATCCAGGAGACCTTGTCCTTCAGAGTTTCTGAGGGAAATTTCTCCAAGGAAGATGCAGCTACATCCCCTTTTAGTTGCTGCCCCTGGAGAACCTACCTCACCTCGTTCCCAGACAAGCTTTCAGCTCTAGAACACTTGCCTGATGGATGGTGCTAGTCTGGCAATGGCTGTCACAAAGCCAAAGAAGGACAAAGGAGACAGGAAAGACTGAGCTTCCCCTGGCTGCTCTGCAGAGGGGATGGGGGGGGGGGGGGGGGGGGGGGGAGGGTCCTAGTTTTCCATCATGTGTTGAGGCAGATGAGTAAATATCACTATCATGTTGAGCCCGGACCTAGGACCCCTGTCTAGGACCACGACCTAAGATCTCTTCGATTATCTGTCTCCCCTGCCCAGAAACCTTCCACTGTGTCCCACCTCCTGCACAGAACACAAGCCCTCAAGCCTCCTGACCTGGCCCAGCACCGCCCCCACCAATCCCCACCTTCCCACCCGGCTCCAGTACAGAGCCTCTGATGCATCAGGCCTCCTGGCCCCAGCCCGTGCTCCCTCATCTACCCTCCCTGAAATACCTTCCCTGTGGCCCGAAAGGCCATCTGAGAGTTCCCTCTTTTCCCGAACTAGCTCCAGAGCATCTGAAAAGCCAGTGTTCCCCAGTCATGGACCCACAGTGACATTGCTGACCCCCCACCCCCCGGAGGTGGGTCTTTTCCCAGAGTTCTCCTCTTCAATTGTCTCAATAAGCACAAGAATCCACCTCTGTTTTTGCTCTCAGCAGGTTAAATGCGGTGGATGGTCACTGTTGTTCTTTGAGCCTGAGGAATGTCCTAATTATATCTTTGCTTTCATTATATGGAGGGGACCCAGGGTCGGCCCAGGCCCTGGCTTTTAGAGATTAAGTAAATGATCATGTATGACCTGACAGAGCCACCCAGTGTATAAGCTGATACCCCTAGGTGTAATTTTGGCCTCATTTTGCTTTCCCAGCTGTGCCTCAGATCAACTGTGATGTCAAAGCCGGAAAGATCATCAATCCTGAGTTCGTTGTGAAATGCCCAGCAGGGTGCCAAGACCCCAAATACCACGTTTATGGCACGGATATCTACGCGTCTTACTCAAGCGTGTGCGGTGCTGCGATTCACAGGTGGGTAGCTCCACGGGGCTTAACAACCAGCAACCAGGCTGCGGGCAGGGCTCCCCCCCACCCCCCACCCCTCCCACCCCCTGCCATGCAGGGCTGCCTGCTTTAGCAAACGAGACTCTACAAATGTAACCGAGCATCCTGTATTTCGTGTGGCAACCCTATCCCCTGGGATTAGGCAGAGGCCAAGCATGGCCCCGAGTCTCCTTTCACAGCCCTCTGGGGAAAGAACTGACTTCATGGGACGGGGAGAATTCTACTCTCTCATGTTCGTGACAAGGGAGCCACAGTTCTCGGTGACGTGAAGCATGTTTTTTCTACCTGTACGTGCTGAACAAGGCAATAATCAGGATATGACTAAGCAAGGCACAGAAGTGTAGAGAAGTGTCACAGCCATGGCGATGGCCTGGAGACAAGTAGAACAGGACACGTGAGAAGGAGGGTGGCAGGTGCCACTGCTTGGTCAGCTGTCCTCCAGGAAGGAGGACAGGAAGCATGACATGTTTTGAACTAAGTCACTGCCTAAATGAGGAGAGGCAAAAGTGACCTTCACAGAATCCTCATCCTTCTTTCTTTTTTTAAGTTTATTTTGAGTGAGAGCGCGCGCACAAGCAGGGGAAGAGCAGAGAGAGTGGGAAAGAGACTCCCCAGCAGGCTCCGTGCTGTCAGCGCAGAGCCCCGCGTGAGGCTGGAACTCACCAACTGTGAGATCATGACCTGAGCCGAAACCGAGAGTCAGCCACGTGACCGAGTGAGCCACCCAGGTGCCCCGAAATGCTCGTAACCTCTTTTGCTCAGGCTGCGAGTCCAAACACAGGGGAATGCGTGTCCACGCAGCGCCTTTGACAAAAAGGCCAATGTGTCTGGGTCAAGCGCCTCACCTGTGTCACCTTATTTAATCCTCACAGTTCCCAACGCCGTGGCTGCTACTACCGTCCACATCTTGAGAGAGAGGCAGACTAGATTTTCTAAAGCCACACTGTTAGAAAGTACTCGTGTGGGGACTGGCACCTAAGTCCAGCTCTTAACTACCACTCTGAGACTGCTTTGAGATGCGGCCCCTGAGTCAGTGCTTGGCCACCGGATGCCGGATGAAGTTTCTGAATCAGTCAGGCTTCTGTATCTTTTTCCTTCCTGCACACTGGTCAGGTGATAGTGCCGTCCTATCTCTGCCAGACAGAGGGGCAAAGATGTAAAATTAATTCTAGGCGCCTGGTGGCGCAGTTGGCTGGGTTATCCCGACTTCCCAGCCAGGTCACCATCCGCGCCTCCGCGAGTCTTCGAGCCCTGCCAGGCTCCCAGCTGATGGCTCAGAGCCTGAGCCTGCTCTCCGGACATTCTGTACTCTCCTCTCTCTGCCCCTCCCCGCTCATGCCTGTCTCTCTCTCTGTCCCAAAAATAAATAAACGTTGAAAAAAAAAAAATTGGGGGCGCCTCAGTGAAGCAGTCGGTTAAGCGTCCTGATTTCCAGCCAGGTCACATCTCAAGGGTCCGGTGAGTTCAAGCCCCTGCTACTGGCTCTAATGATGGCCTGGGAGCCTGAGCCTAAGTTTCCATTCTGTGTCTCCCTCTCTGCCCCCTCCTGCTCTGTCTTCTCTGTCCCAAAAAAATAAAAACAAAAAAAAAATTAAAAAAAAAAAATTCACTCCCTTTGAAGGTGTGTCGTCAGCAGCTTTTCAGAAATTTGGGGAAGCAGCAAAAGCAAAGTCTATGTGTAAAATAAGATGTAAGAATTACTGGAAGAGTCTGTTGGCTGGTTTCTTTTCCCCGGGCCACTTAATTGCAGGGGGATGATGAGCTGATTTTCCGATGGGAAAAGGACTACAAACGCTCTATTACGGAGAACTAGTGAAATATCTGGGAGAAACAATTATTGGGGGCTCAGTCGGTTGAGTGTCTGACTCCTGATTTCAGCTCAGGTCATGATCTCACAGTTCGTGAGATCAAGCCTCGTGTGGGGCTCCTTCTGCTGACAGCACGGAGCCTGCTTGGGATTCTCTCTCTCCCTCTCTCTCTGTCCCTCCCCCACTCATGCTGTTCTCTCTCTCTCTCTCTCTCTCAAAATGGGTAAATAAACTTAAAAAAAGGGACAGAAACTACACCAAACACTATTTCTTAACGCCAGACTATGAAAAAAATATTTCGCTTTCACTCTGAAATAAATCTCCTGCAAAAAGGAAAGAGGCACACAAATCTACACACACATGCATATGCACGAATGCACACGTGCGTGCTCCCACACGTGTGCTTGCACGTATGTGCATGCACACCCACATCCCCACACACGTGCATGCCCAGTCAGCTCCAGCGCCATTGGCCCTCTCCAGGCTGTGTCTGTGTGGACACAGGGTCCGCTGCAGAGGCTGAGCCTGTCTTTGGGTTGCCTGTATTTTCCCATCTGTGATACAGATGGTTGGCACTCTGCTCCCTCTGGCATTTGCTGGATCTCTCTTGCCTTTCCATGCTTCCCATGCAGGACAGAGTCACACGAGTTCATTCAACCTCACAAAGATGTCATCGTAATCACAGTAATCCCTTGCGCTATGATTCCCTCCTTCCAGCATCATCTTGACCCTGAGGCTGTGGTTAACATCCCCATTTGCTACAAGAGGAGCTGAGAAATAGGGAAGCTAATTAAGTTGCTAGTTAGTTGCAAATTCGGGATTAGACCTCATGTCCCCTGACTTCCAGTCCAGAGCCCAGGTGACATATGTACATAAGAACAGGGGCAGGGGTCCCAGCACTGCTTAATGTACAAGTGAGGATGTGAGGTAGATGTAGACTTTGGACCAGTAAGAGTTGAGAATGGCTTTATGATGGATGGAGACCCCACTGGGGAGAAAATAAGAAGGGTTTTGACAAGGACCAGGACTCAGCAATCCCAATGTTGGGGGTTGGAGAGTAGGAAAGAACGTGGGGAGAGAATACAGAGGAGGGTGGAGGGGTGGAGGAGAAGAGCTTGAATGTTTCAGAACACAAGATTTGCTACTTGAACAACCGAGTGCCATTGTAGTTTTCTGGACCAGTGTCTGATCTAGTGCGAAACTACTCAGAAACTATTCAGAAACTGTCCCTGGGGAGGATGAATGAAGACCTTAAGGGAGAACAGATAGGAGTTTTTTGATACTCTCAGTTTTGTTTTTCACAAACAGAATGAGTCTGTCTTCATAAGGCAGGCTTTAAGACCTAGAACATGAGTAGAAAGTACACACGGGTCCTCCCATATTATCCCTTCAGAGTCCCCACGGTCAGAACTGGGAAGCTGGAGAGAGCATACTTTGGTTTAGAAATTCAGATTTAGCGGTTAGAATTTAATATTAATACAATATATCATAATCAGATGTCTTATTATGAATGGTTCCCTTGATTCTGTCAACCCAAAGGGATAATGAACACACTGGAGGCATCATATTTCGGCTCAATCTTGTCCCGAACTAACCTCTATACATAGAGTAGGACCAAGTGCCAGGGAGGGGGAAGATTTCTGCCCAATGGGGTGATGAGGAGGCCATCCCCATGCAGAGTACTCTTCATGCTGATTTTTTTAAATGTTTATTTTTGAGAGAGAGAGAGAGAGAGAGAGAGAGAGAGAGACAAGAGCATGAGTGGGGAGGGGCCAAAGAGAGAAGGAGACACAGAATATGAGGCAGGCTCCAGGCTCTGAGCACAGAGCCGGACACGAAGATTGAACTTGTGAACCATGAGATCATGACCCGAACTGACGTCAGACGCTTAACTGACTGAGCCACCCAGGCGCCCCTCTTCATGCTGATTTCTGACCGGAGGCCCACCCTGAGAATGGCAGCTGTTCAAAACGGCCCTTTTCCTGAACCACGCAGCTGACCCTCAGCGTAGCCCAATCCTTGGATACCAGGGATAGGGAGGAGAAGGCCATGCCCAGTACCATGCAGGGCATCTAAGGAATGCAAAGAAGTAAAACTGTTTTGCTCTTTTGGAGAATATTTATGAGGTGCCTATCTCTGAGTGAGGATAGAAATGAGGGCACATGTACATAAATTCTCCAAAGTACCATGACTCCCATCTGCTTCATAAGCAAAACCACAGCCTCTTTCAGGCTGTCTCTCTTCTCTAGTGTCTCCTACAGTGGTCAAGTCTCTAGTGCATTCCATCTCCATGGACTACTAGCACCTGTAGTTCACAGACCATTGACCTCTCCAGTATCCACTCTTCTCTAGAATATCTGGGAAGATCCACATCCTCCAGTTAAGTCCACTGCCAGGGTCAGGCATCAGTCTGGTCTGCAACAGGGAAATCTCAGGAGCACACCCTAGCTGGGTATCACATCTTCCCCAAAGTCTAGGTTTTCAGCCTTACCTCACCCTCACAAGGGATATCAGTAGGCCTGTCCAGCTTGAGACCACCGCCGCCCCCACCCTTCCCATCTCCTTGAACAGCCTGAGGGAAGCTCAACACAGACCCCCCTTCGCTTGCTTCCCTTCCTTCTAGGTGGCAGCTACTGTTCCTCTCTTTTTTTTTTTTAATTTTTTTTAACATTTATTTATTTTTGAGAAACTAAGACGAAGTGTGAGCGAGGGAGGGGCAGAGAGAGAAGGAGACACAGAATCTGAAGCAGGCTCCAGGCTCTGAGCTGTCAGCACAGAGCCTGATGCAGGGCTCGAACCCGCAAACTGTGAGGTCATGACCTGAGCCGAAGTCGGACGCTCAATCGACTGAGGCGCCCAGGTGCCCCTGTTCTTCTTCTTCTGACTCTTAAACAGGAGCAAATGCACGCACACACACATTTCCTGAATACACTGGAGTATGAAACCAAGGGCAGAATAATTTCTTGGGAAGAAAATAAAAACATAAGTGTTATTGTGATTTCTAATTCCCTCATTAATTATAAGTAAACGGAGCATGGGATAATTTTTTTAATAACTAGAATTTTCAGCCGCACCAGAGCTGTGCTTGTAAATGTTTAACAACCAGCTCCTCAAACGCAGGGGTAATTCTGATTTTACCAGCTTCTGTGGCATAAATACTCCCACTGTGGCTGAGTCAAGCTACAGTGGGAAGAGAACCAACTCCCACGATCCTGAAAAGTTAACAACTGGCTCTCCTAAGCCAGCGTGAGTGGCACACCACTGACAGGCCTTCCAGCGCAGAAGCCTAAAACACTGCCTTTTCCATACGAACATTTCTATTCTGGTTGGGAGACAAAAGCAACTCAAGAAATTTTTAGAAGATGGCCCAAGACCAAATACGATCAGAGTCTCGGTTGTGAGACAAGATTCTAAGGCATCGTTAGGAAGGGATGCCGCAAAGTCTTTCCAGAATCTCTGGAGAGAAGAAAAGGTTGGGCACTGAGCAACACGGGCCTTGTCAGGTGGAAGTGGGAGCTGGTTTTCCAGAGCAAAAGAGCAGGAGGAGCAGACACGGGAGTGGGAACCAGGTGCTCTGTCCGGGGAGCCGAGACCAGCCTAGCCACAGCTGGAATTGGTGAGGTAACAGATCCTGAGCCCCCGAGAGAAAGGAGGGCAGGGTTGCAAAGATTTGGAAAGATGAGGAGTTTGGTGCCTGTGCTTTTGGACTCTCAGAGGCAACTGTGACCAAGCGGGACCGACCCGCGATTCCAGGTCAGCGAGACCTGGGTTCAAATCCCTGCCTTGCCAATTTACTAGTTACAAAATCTGGCCTGAGTCACTCCGCTGGTCCAAGCCCAATTCTGTGAAATGGGAACAACAGCACTGCCTCTATGCCACAAGTCAGGGGTTTGCTGGGTGGACCCGGTGAGATACCATACATGAGAATGATTTTAAATCAATTAAGCGCTCCGCATGTCAAGTACTATTATCACTATCTTTCCTTCTGGGTCATTGAGCAGGTGAGTCTTGAAACTTGTTGGTTCATGAAGGTGGGAGGGCAGGAAATGGCAACTCTCACTCCCGGAGGGAAGGGAGGGTGTTGATGAGAACAAATCTAAGTGCTTTTTTAGTTCCCTCTGTGCCGTAAATCACAGATACCCACAGGAGCCATTTTTGGCTCTGGGGCAGGGAAATGACAATGTGAAGTGATTCCGAGGAAGCAGAATGGGACCCCTGCTTCACATACAAGCCAAGAGGTATATATGTCAGTCACTGTTACATCAGGATCTAAAACCTTCAAAATCCTAGAAATTAAAGAAACAATTTCTAGTCCTTCAGGACTCTTTTTAATGAGTTCAGTATAGCCACGCACCTTCCTTCCCTTGCTCAAAATAAAAAGAATGATTTGCTTGGTAAAAGTTCATGGCCACCCTCCGAGACAACTGGACTCATTCTGTGATGTCACAAAACCAAACTGGAAATTGTCAGAAGTTTTACTCAAAAGATCTAGTTAGAATGAGCAAACGAAGGAAGAGAAATTTGAGGCATGGTGGCAAACAGAAATTGCTGCCCAATGGAACAAGCAGGTTCTGTAATAAGAAAGAGAAGCATATCTGACCTGGGAGGTCAGATGCTGGGCCATGGGATGAAGGCACCCTTCTTGGGGGATGGACTGAAGGTCAGGATAAACCTTTTCTTAATCTCACTCTTTCATATCTTCAAATAAAGATGGAGGCTACTTTGATATCAGTCTGTTGACTGTGTCAAAGAATATTTTTCTGTTCTTCAATTTTTTTTTTTTCTCTCTTCATAGTGGTGTGCTTGATAATTCAGGAGGGAAAATACTTGTTCGGAAAGTTGCCGGGCAATCTGGCTATAAGGGGAGTTATTCCAATGGTGTCCAGTCATTGTCCCTGCCACGCTGGAGAGAGTCCTTCATCGTCTCAGGTACGCCCACACACTGGAGAAACACAGCCCTACCCAGGCACTTGGCTTAAGTGACCTCATGGGATGAAATGTATTCTTGTCAATGTTCTATTGGTTTTAGTTTATGGCCCAACTCATTTCATAAAAGTCTGAAGCATTAGCTCTTCTGATAATTAGGATCATGAAACAATAAACTATAATTACAGTGATAAATCACTACAAAGTCTGGAAATATTAAAAGGCTCCAATTTCTCATTTTAAACACACTGCAGCTATCCATAAATCCAATCAAACTTTTAATGAAATGAATTACATTTAATAACTTCGGTTTTGAACTACTCCTTTAGTTAGGCCAAATATGTCTCATATCTGGAACCTCATTCCTTGATATTTCTGGTAAATGGAAAGGGATATAGGCTCTTATGGAACTGAGCTGCAATTTTGAGATTTCTTTTTATTTAATTGATTGTTTCACTCGTTGGTCCTTGCCATCTAGCTCCTTAGGATTTTTGTAGATAACATTTTCACTCTTTTCCTCCCTCTTCCAATGAGGTAATGTCAATGAGCTAATGACAAGTGTGATTTCATGGGAAAAAAGGTGACCTAGTATCTGTATTATCATGACCCTCCCTTTCCTATTATTGTGAATTCCGCAAACTTTTGTTTTGAAACTTTTTTAATTGAAAGAATAGTACAATGAATATCCACATTCCCTTCACCTAGCAACATTTGCTTTATTAACCTACTTATCATTTATCTACATTTTGCTCTAAACCATGTGAAAATAAGCTGCAGGCATCATGACACTTTATCTCTCAATACTTCTGCACACATCTGGTAAAAACAAGATTTTCCTAATAACCACAATACCAATACCACACCTAAAACATTAACATTGGTGCAATTATGTTATCCAACAAATAGTTCTTCCTCAATAGTATCCAGTTATCTTAGTCTTCATAGGAATTTCTTCCTCCTCCTCCTTTTCTCTCCTTCCCTCCTCTCTCCCTCTCTCCCTCCCTCCCTCCCTTCCTTCCTTCCAGATCCACAGTCTAATAAATAATAAAAATCACCCATTGCCTTTAGTTGTCATGTCTATTAACTCTCCAATAATCTAAAACTATCTACCACCACACTACCTTTTTTTTTTTTTTGTCATGAATGACAATGACATTTTTGAAGTCCCAGCCAGTTGTCCAGTACTGTGTCTCCCAGTCTGGACCACAAACATGTCCAGCCATGTCCTCATGATTGGATTCAGGTTACATATTTTGCCAAGGTTACTACATAAGTAGTATCATAGCATACACATTGTGCTTTATCACAGTGGTCATATCAGAAGACTCAATAATGTCAGTTTATCCAGTTGTCGGTGATGCTAAACTGGACTGCTTGGATACTTTCCAGTATCTCTCCATGGTAGAGATACTTTGTAACGAATAAGCAATCTGTAGGGAGATACTTCAAATCAGCATGAATAGCTCATTCCCCAACAAATTCATCCAATGGTTTAACATCCATTGATGATCCTTGCACTAGCAAGAATTACACTAGAATTTGCAAAATTATAATTGTTCTAATTCTGTCCTTCCTTCCACATTTGTTAGCAAGTTTTCTTACATAAAGAAGAGGGTTTTTTTCCCCTCTCTGCACACCTGTTTTTTCAAGTACCACTAGGGAGTCATGGATTGTTTTTGAAAATATGTTATAATCCATTAGCACCAGTATTCTTTTCTTAATTTAACATGCAGTGTTGTCGTGGCTTCAGGAGTAGAACCCAGTGTTTCATCTCTTACATATGACACCCAGTGCTCATCTCAAAAAGTGCCCTCCTTCATGCCTGTCACCCATTTAATCTATTCCCCTACCCACCACCCTTCAAGCAACCCTCAGTTTGTTCTCTGTATTTAAGAGTCTCTTATGGTTTGCCTCCTTCCGTGTTTTTATCTAATTTTTCCTTCCTTTTCACTATGTTTATCGTGTTTCTCAAATTCCACATATGAGTGAAATCATCTGATATCTTTCTCTGGATTATTTCACTTAGCATAATACCCTCTAGTTCCATCCACATTGCTGCAAATGGCAAGATTTCCTCCTTTTTCATCGCTGAGTAGTATTCCATTGTATGTATATGTGTATGTATGTGTGTGTCCATTCATCAATTGATGGAAATTTGCGCTCTTTCCATAATTTGGCTATCATTATTCTTTTTGATGCTCAAGTTTTCCAAATTCAGCCAGTGGGAGCCCTTCGGGCTTTTTTGGCACGTCCTCATTGGTGTTTGAGCACAACATAGTGTTCTATCCTTGTGTTGTACTTGGCCTTATGCTGGGCCTTGCATATCCCATTTTCTTCAAAGAGGTTTCACATGATTTTAAACTATATTCTAGCAAAGCTTCTGGCATGCCAACAAGATTAGGAATCTTGAAACTCTCCTGAGGAGCCACCTGTGGAAGACCACCCAAAGCAAGGAAAAGAAAAATGTTTCATAATATAGTAGGTCTTCCCGTCTGGATGGTGTTCTGGTACCTTTATGCATCCCATGCCCCAACTCCTACTATCCTCCATTGATCAGAGTTGGCTTTTTTCAGAGTTTTAATAGAACTACAAACAGACCTTTTAGGATTCTTCACAACTTGAGCAATCCCTGTTTCCTCTTGCCTGCAGAACTCTGCAGCCTAGGGTTCAAATTAAACTGGCTTCTATGTCAGGTAGTGGAAAGTCATCAACCACAGCGCCGTGAGAATTCAGAACAGGGGCCATATGAAAATGCTAATAGCTAGACTACAAATTTGTCAAGTATATAGAGAAATGTAATCCCCACATAGGTGTTTACCAAGTAGCTCCTGGCTAAATAAGAGTGTTTCCATCTTAAATGCATAGCCTGCAATTCAAGAATCCCCAACAGAGGTTTAAAGGAAAAATTAACTCCAAGAGAGTAGAGATGTTTTGGGTTTTTTAAATGAAAATCAGTCTACTGAGATTATTCCCTACAAACTCAACTTCCATGTCCCCTCATTTCACCTAGTGACATTTAACCGAAACACTTTTTGCCAATTATAATAAACATTGGTGCTTCTGCAATGAGTAGGAATCTCTTTCGAATGGGTGACTTGGGGGGGGCAACACTGGCCAGCAGCCAAGCCACGCTCCCCACTATCTGGGAGCTCAAGGCCACCAGCTTCAGCTGGATGGTGTCAGAATCCTCCTCTGAAGGCTCCGGTGCCTCCATGACCTTCTTATTTTTAATTTTCACGCATCACTGTGCTCCTTTAGTTAATTCACTTTGGTGGGCTGGGATGGAAGCAGACGATAGGATATGCCTTTTTGGTCAGCACAATCTTTTGGTGGTCCGTGGATAGGAATGGTCAGAGAGGGACTTCCTAATACTGCCCGTTTGTTCTTTGATCCACATTTCAGAAAACTGAGCTCATGCTCCTTTTCCTTCTGAATAGAAGCAGGAAAAGCCATAGGATTTTAAATGTGAGAACAGTAAACAGATGAAGACCATGTCTGTGCAGTCCCCTCTGTTGATCAAGTGAGGCCAACGGCCATAGGGCCCTCCCTGGGCCCGAAATAACCTCAATCACAATTTGGAAGAGGCCCAGTCAAGGGCAGGGGACCTGGAAAACTCTGTTCCCAGGGGACTTTAATGGGATAAAATAACTCAGTCAGCCCAAACATTTTGCCTCATCCCCACTTTGAGTGATATTTATAGACCATACCAGCAGAGAACCTTTGCATCTCTCTGGTAATACATGGTTCCAGAACATTTTAACTTCTTTTTTTTCATTAGGCCCCTACAACTTAATAGATAGTAAGTTGGTCCATATCATTGTCCATATTTCCTGAATGAGAAAAATGAGAGTCTCAGAGGCTGAGGCAGAGAATACATGGCAAAGACAAACAGAAACGTAGATGTTCTCATTCCCAGTTCCAGGTCCTTTCTGAGACCCCATCATTCTGGCTGCTTCACGGCTCTACAGCCTTTTGTGTCAGTAGGGCTTTTGGCAAGAATCGTGCACTAGATTCTGTTCTACCGCTCGGGCTCTCCATTCAACACTCCTCCCCATCTCGTCCCCAAGCCCATCCTATAAAACTATTTCCTTAGACTGAGATTTAAAATTCTTGGGGCTCTGTGTATGCAGTTTGTTAGGGCGTCTGATCTCAGCCAGGTCACGATCTTGGTGGCCCGGTGGAAATCAGAGCCCTGCCAGGCTCCTGGGCTGATGGCTCGGAGCCTGGAGCCTGTCGATGCTGTGTCTCCCCTCTCTGCCCCTCCCCTCTGTTCATGCTCTGTTTCTCTCTGTCTCAAAAATAAATAAAAAACGTTGAAAAAAAAAAATTAAAAAAAAAAAATAAAATAAAATTCTTTCACTGTCCGATGCAAATATTAGATACCAGGTAGGACCCCTCTTAAGGGTATTTGAAATTGTAACAGAGATCTAAGCATGAAGATATTCCTCCTTCGAATAAATACTAACTGATCATCTCCTACATACCAGCCATCGCTTGAGGCAGTGTCTCAATGGTTACCAAGTGAGACAAATCCCCAGTCTCCAGGGAGATTCCACCTTCCAAGTGACACTGTCCACCTCATTGCGGAGCAAAACTCTTGTGTGGAATTCTAGGCATCATTTCCTGGCGGAGGAAGGCTTTAGACGCCATAGCCTTTTCCGGGCAATTTCCAGTCCTATCAGGCTTGGTACTTGCTTACCCAGCTCCAATCACCTGATCGCTTTTCTTTTTTATGCCTCCTTTGTTTTCCCTGATACATATTAACATTCCTTCTCCTCACCTGGCCTCTAAACTTTCTTTCCCTAGGTGGGCAACAAATGCTTATTTTGAAAACTACTTCTAGGTTTCTTTAGTGCCGTGGAATTCAAATGGATCCCACAGGGTCCGTGAAAGGGGGAAAGAGCCATTCATGCACAGCCAGCTTGTGACCAGAGCTCTGGAGCATCCAGAAGGAGAGCACGGGGAGTGCTTTTACATTCATCTACTGACCTAATTAAACATTCAGCGCCACACATATGAAAACCTTAGCTCACATGTCACATCTTCGTGGGCAGAACGAGGTTTGCTAATGTGAACTCTGAGTCACAGAGATATTATTGCTTCCTTTCTAATATTAATAAAACACAGGCTATACAGGAAAACAAAACCTCACTTGACTTTCTTATTGTAATCAGCAGTTCAGCTTGGTGGGGGAGACCACCGATTTATTGAACTCAAGAGAGATCAATAGGAAAGAGGGAATCAGCATACCAGAATAGAACCATCTAAAACTTCTAGCTCTACAAATAATTTGTTTCTTTTTTGCAGAAGGTAAATCCCAAAAGGGTGTAACCTACCCATCGGCGCTCACATACTCATCATCTAAAAGCCCTGCTGCGAAAACAGGCAAGTGTTCATATGTGATTTCATCTAAATATTCTGAGTTTGTAAACACGTGTTTTAGAAGGTAGTGTAGAAATTAACATCTGGTCAAGCCCCAGTGATGCCAGCAATATTTTCACCAATGCCAGAAACGTGGCCCCAGAAATCAAGGGGATCAGATGGCTGGGGCTGAAGAGTAAGGCTTCAGTTTTTGGTTTTGGTTTTCGAGTTCCAAGATGATCTCTATGTTTTGTAATCTTCATTCACAATGGTTGTTGCCTTGAATTGTATTGTTACTTTAGAAGATGACAGGATATTCTGTCTAGAAATGTTCCCTGGCAGATGAAAGGGGAAAAGCTGTCTCTTACTAGGTATGAAATGAAGGGAAGCAAAAAGGATGGTGTTAACAGAAAACAACTAATAGAAATAACCCAAGCCAAAGATACAGTGTTTATGAGGTTGTGCGTCACGTGAACCACAAAGGGAGCCAGATAGACTTCAGGTCAGGAAAATACCTTTTTCTAGGTTTTTGTGTCAAGGGAGAACTAGGCTATGCATTATTGTGTCTTTGGGGGCATTTTGATTTCCCACACAAAGAGAAGGGATAAACATCCCTTTCCAACATAAACACAAAAGGGACACTTGGGGTCTTGCCCAGCTTCTAGAGGAACCACTCTTTAAAGTTATAGTCTCTGGGCACCTGGGTGGCTCAGTCAGTTGAGTGTCTGACTCATGGTTTCAGCTCAGGTCGTGATCTCACGGTTTGTGGGTTCGAGCCCGACATCAGGCTCTGCACTGACAGTGTGGAGCCTGCTTGAGATTCTCTGTCTCCCTCTCTGTGCCCCTCCCCCACTGGCTCCCTCTCTTTCTCTCTCAAAATAAATTTTAAAAATAATAAAAAGCACTGGGGCGCCTGGGTGGCTCAGTCGATTAAACATCCGACTTTGGATCAGATCATGATCTCATGGTTTGTGAGTTCGAGCCCCATGTTGGGCTCTCTGCTGTCAGTGCAGAGCCTGCTTTGAGATCCTGT